TCCTATAGTGCCACCAGGACTCCTAAATAGAAATAAATTTAAGTATAATAAATAGAAGTGTTGTTGTTAAGTATGGCCAAATCAATGTCAATTCATAGGAACCCTGTATAGGGTTTCCCAGAAGGGGCTGGTGGGTTTGAACTGTTGACTTTGCAGATCAAACTGACCTTGTGGTCCAGTGCTTATTCTACAGTGCCACATCAGGATTAAAAAAATATAAGTGATCTAAAACAATGGAACACAAATTTGTCCTTTCTATTAGAATATTATTTCAACATCAGTTGCAGAAAAGCTAAGAGATCATAGAGAGAACTTGAATGGCTTGTAAAGTCAATAAAGCCATAAGTATCTTTGTTGATAATGCAAAAATTAGACAATGAATAAGGAAGACCAGAGAAGAATCAATGAGTACCATGGAGTGACAGAAGAATAACCTGTCTTGGAAGTACAGTTAGATGCTCCTCTCATACTTCCGACACATTATTAGGAGGCACCATTCCCTGGAACAGGACATCATGCGTGGTAAAGTGGAGCAGCAACAAAAAAGAGGAAAACCTCCAACGAGATGGATTGGCACAGTGGCAGTAGCAGATGGGCCAAACTTAACAATTGTAAGGAAGGAGAAGTGCTTCATTCTGCTCTGTATAAGGTCACTAAGCTTTGGAACTGTTTCAAGGGCACCTAACAGCATTACAGCATCCTGCACTGTCTTATCATTAGAAACTCCATTGTTGTCATTGTTAAGTGCCCTGGAGACAGTTCCAACTCATAGTGACCCTGTGTAGGGTTTCTGAGGAGTGACTGGTGAGTTAGAACCACCACACCAACCTTTCAGTTCAAACTGACCTTGCTGTCTTGTGCTGTTGCCAAACCAAAAGGAGAGCTCACCACTTGTCACTGTAGTCAATCACAAAGATGGTAAGAGATCCAATCCAAGCTTTAACAGAAAACCAGCAGTCTGAAGGATGAAAGAAAAGTTTCTCAAGACCATCCTGTCCATTATGAAGAGTAGGCACATTATATAGGATAAGTTACATTTGGATATATACTTAATCTATCTTAACATCAAGATAGCGTTCTTTGGGAAAAGAAAACAACACATCAACAAACTTCCTCAAACATTTGAACTTTAGAGTGTCAGCTGTTTTCAATTGTGTGGATCAGGACAAGCTATGGACAACATTGCAAAGTATGAGTGTTCCAGAATACTAATTGTGCTCATCAGAAATCTGTACATAGACAAAAAGGCAGTTGTTCAAACAGAACATGAGAACACTTAAAGGTTTAAAATTAAGAAAAGTGTGTGACAAGATTGTATTCTTTCACCATACTTATTCAACCTGTATGCTGAGCAAATAATCCAAGAAGCTGGGTTCTATGAAGAAAAATGTGGCATCAGGATTGGAGGAAGACTCATTAACAACCTGCGATATGCAGATGATACAACCTTGTTTGCTGAATGTAAAGAAGACTTAAAATATTTACTGATGAAGATCAAAAAGCACAGCCTTCAGTATGGATTGCATCTCACTGTCAAGAAAACAAAAATCTTCACCACTGGACCAATAAACAACATTCTTGCCAATGGAGAAAAGATTGAAGTTGTCAAGGACTTCATTCTTCTTGGATTAACTATCAACACTCACAGAAGCAGCAGTCAAGAAATAAAATTATGTATTGTATTAGGCAAATCTGCTGCACAAGACCTTTTTAAAGCATTGAAAAGCAAAGATGTCAGCTTGAAGATGAAAGCACTCCTGACCCAAGCCATGGTATTTTCAATAACCTCACATGCATGTGAAAGCTGGACAGTAAATAAGGAAAACCATAGAAGAATTGATGATTTTGAGTTACGGTGTTGGAAGAGAATATTGAAAGTGCCATGGGCTGCCAAAAGAATCAACAGATCTGTGTTGGAAGAAGTGCAACCAGAGTACTCCTCTGAGGCCAGGATGGCCAAACTTTGTCTTATAAGCTTCAGACATGTTGTCAGGAGGGACCAGTCACTGGAGAAGGTTATCATGCTTGGTAAGGTAGAGGGTCAGAGAAAAAGAGGAAGACCTCCAGCAAGATGGATTGGCAAAGTAGCAGCATCAATGGGTTTAAGCGTGGCAACAATAATGAGGTTGGCCCAGGATTGGGCAGTGTTTCATTCTGTTGTGCATATGGTCGCTATGAGTCGGTATTGACTCAATGACACCTAACAACAACAACAATTTATTTTGTACTGTTCTCCTTCTAGGACCATAAAGTCATCTTAGCTAATTAATAAACTTCCTCATTCGAGTCTTAAGGAGCTCTGGTAGTGTAGTGGTTACGAGTCGGGCTGCCAACGTCAAGGTCAGCAGTTCAAAACTACCAGCAGTTCCTCGGAAGAAAGATGAGGCATTCTGCTCCCGTAAAGATTTACAGCCTTGGAAACTCTGTGCAGGGTCACTATGAGTCGGAACCGACTTCACGGTACTTAACAACAACAACAACATTTGAGACTTGGTTATGAATTGAACTGCGAGCCTCAAGGTAGGCAGTTCAAAACTCCCAGTTGTTCCGTGGGAGAAAGATGAGGCTTTCTGCTCCCATAAAGATTTATAGCCTCTGAAACCCTACGTGGGGTCGCTGTGAGTCAGAACTGACTCCATGGCACACCACCACCACCATTTGAGACTTAATGACGAAACAGACTCTATTTTGTTTAGGTCAGTAGATCCATTCTATAAATACTTACCCTACAGTGCTTCACCAGACCTCGGATAAGACATACTATTTTCCTACTTCTCTGGTGCTCGGAACTATACTTGGTGCACTATGTATATTTCCTCATTCAGTTTATGTAGTAGGTATGACTACTTCCATTTTAAATATGAGAAAAAAAGGACGCTTGAGATTTCATAATTGGAAATGACCACAGCTGGAATTCTAAGAACTGATAATTAACATGAATAGACTTAACACTGGTGGTACAAATGATCAAGAGTTCAACTATCAACTGAAAGGTTGGCAGCTCAAATCCACCCAGAGGGGACTCTGAAAAAATGGCCTTCTTCTGAAAGATCATATCCCTCAACGCTGCCAGTCCTACTCTGTACACAAAGGGGTGGCATGACAAAATCGACAAGACAGTAACTAATAACAAAAGGCTTCAAACAAAACCATGTAGTTAAAGCTTGGTAATTCTGAGTGCCGTGAAGGCACAACTTAGAATGAAATTCCCTGTAACTAGTGAATTCATTTCTCTTATAGTGTGCGTTGGTTGCGGTCTTAGACTAGGTTCCTAGAGGAGTGATGTTGTTGGTTGTTAAGTGCTGTAGAGACTGTTTCAATTCTCAGTAATAGGGTTTCCAAGGCTATAAATCTTTGCAGGATCAAAAAGCCTCTTTTCCCTGAGGAGTGCCTGGTGGGCCTGAACTTGTGGTTTGAAGTCCAATGTTTATCTCAAAGACGCCCCTTGCTCTTTGAGAAGTATAGCCAACCTGGTAGTTTACAGTCCAGGGCTTATCCTACAGTGTCACACCAGGACTCTCTTTCAGTTCAAACCAACTTTGTAGTCCAGCACATTAACTCACAGCACTATACCAGGACTCCATATATGTGGATCAGCATTGACCTGCGAACCACAAGGGCAGCAGTTCAAACACACCAGCAGCTCCATGGAAACCTTATGAGTCTCAACTTACTCGATAACACTATATATATAAAACCCTATATAGGTTTTCAAGGAGCAGCTCATGAATTTGAACTGCTGACCTTATGGTTCAAACCAACCTTGTGGTCCAGTGCATTATCACACAGTAGTACCACACCACGACTTCTCTCTCTATATAAAATGACTTATATAATTACTTTGAGTAAATGGCTGACACCATTGTGAAGGTTTGAAAATCCTAAATCTATGAATCAGGATGCTCCTTAGAAATGAGGATAGTGAGACTTTTCCTCCTGACTCACATGGTTACAGGGACTGATGAATCCAAAATCCATAAGCCAGGTGGCAAGTTGCTGGCTCAGTACTGAAAACCAGTGATCAGATGATGATAATTTGGATGCAGGATTGAGCGAGACATGGACAGAGAGTGAGAGTTTTGCCAGAACATCCATGTAGACAGTCCCTGGATTGCAAATGAGTTCCATTCTTAAATTCGTCTTAAGTCAAATCTGTATATGTAGTGTCAGTTTGTCAAATGTTTGTGTTAGTATATGGTGTACCTTTCTATGCATTAAAAAATTTTTAAAGCACTAAAACATCTTTAACATAATAATGCCTAAATCCATTGCTGTAGAGTCAATTCCAACTCATAGTAACCCAATAAGACAGGGTAAGATTGCTCCCACAGGGTTTCCAAAGCTGTAAATCTTTATGGAAACAGACTACATCATCTTTCTCCCATAAGGCTACTGTTGAGTTCCAACTGTCAATCAGCAGTCCAGCATTTAACCCACACAGCTACCAAAGCATACAGTGATAATAATAATATTTTGATGCCTAGTGCAAAGTAGCACCCATTTGTTATTATAAACCATTGAAGGTACCTTGAATTTTAAATATATGGGGTTGGTTTGTAAATATGGTGGCCTGTATATTGGATGTAGGCCAGTCTTCACTGGGATCTCTACCTTGAGTTGTGAAATTTTGAATATACTACCATAATTCTTCTTTTGATTGGATATCAGGCTTCTCCTGGGTTGTAGTTCATCTGGGGCCATAGCACACTTGGGGCAGTACTGAAAATGAGTTTTTAAATGTTGTCTGTTTATTCTTAACATCCCCAGCGAGATGGATTGGCAAAGTAGCAGCATCAGTGGGCAACAAAGTAGCAAGCGTGGTAACAATTGTGAGGGTGGCCCAGGACTGGACAGTGTTTCATTCTGTTGCTCACAGGGTCACTATGAGTAGGTACTGATTTGATAGCACCTAACAACAACAAAGAAGGCTATAGGATTATAGATAAGAGGCAAATGAAGCATCACTTTGATAATCCGCAAAGCAGTATCTGTTGAATTAGGTTTGGTCATACTCCAGTACAAGAAAGGCTCAGCTGCATGGCCAAGGACAACTCTATCTACATTGTGGCAAATATCGGGGACAAGAAACCATGTAATGCCAGTGACCCTCAGTGCCCCGTGGATGGCCGTTACCAGTACAACACCAATGTGGTCTTTGATTCTGATGGTAAATTGGTGGCACGCTACCATAAGGTGAGAATTTGTGTGTAATCCTCATTGACTTCTTTTGTTGGTTTGTTCATGGTATGTATGTTTGTCAAAGGAGTCCTAGTGTGCACTGTAGGATAAGCACTCAACCTCAAGGTCGGTTTGAACCGGAAAGTCAGAGGTTCAAACTCACCAGCCCCTCCTTGGAAACCCTACACAGGATCACTATGAGTCAGAACTGACTTGACAGCACTTTACATGTTTGTTGAATGTTGGGAAGAAAACTGTCGAGAATGAAACTCTTTGTTTGGAAATTTTTTACTTCAGTCTCACACAAGGATTCTGAGTGTGAATTAGTCAGAAAATAGAACATAGCAGAATATTAGAATAGATGTGGTAATAGCTTCAAAAGATTTGAATATTCCTTGACAAAGAAAAGGAAATTCATTTAATTTTAGGATATGTTTTTTTGGCCAATTGGTTAATATTTAATACTGAGCTAAGATGCCATTTGGTTCAATCAGAACTTTTTTTATTGCAATGATACAAATTCCCAAATGAAACTGGCTTAGATAAGTAAATTGTTTTGTGCTTATGTAATTGAACCACTGCTTGAGGGGACTTCAAAATTTGTATGGAAAAATGGAATTAGAAGACAATGGAATCATTCCACACACTTTTTGAAGCCCCCTTTTCTATGTCATAAAAGGGTAGGTGCAGACTCTTTCAGATGTTCAAAAGATGCCATCTGATCCTACTGTCCCTTTAGCCCTCTGCTAGGAACGTTTTCTCAGGCACAGTCCTTTTAGAATACACAGGGTTGCAGTAACACAAAACTTACATCCTCAGAGCAACAAAATCCAGAGGAAGAGTGTGCTTTTCCCTCAGTGGAAACCCTACAAAAAAAGCTTCATCACCTCTTGACTGCAATTGGATTCCATGCCTTCCTTGAGCCAATCACCCCAGGACGAAGGATGGGCTACCCCATGGGTGGGAGTGAAAAAGTAAGGAATCCTTGGTGAGGGACTAGGGGAGGAGAGTAGCTAGGACCATTTCCAGAGCACACACATCAGGCCAAATAAAACCCAAAGAAAGCCATTGTTAAGTGTGGTATTGAAGCGATGATCAGGTTGAAAACATTATTACTGGCTTACTTATTAACAATAAGGACATAGCGGTTAAGTCCTTGGCTGCTAACTGAAAGGTCAGTGGTTCAAATACACTAGGTGCTAGCCAGAAGGAAGATGTGAAAGTCAGTTTCCCTAAAGATTATAGCTTGAAAACCCTACAAGGCAATTCTACTCTGTCCTATAGTCACTATGAGTGGGAATTGAGTTGAAGGCAATGACTTTTGCTTGCTTGCTTTTAAATTAACAAGATTAGCTATGATATTGTTTAAATTCATTTCAAGCCTACTTTATTTAAGGAGCTCTGGTGGCTTTGTGGGATAAGCATTGAGTGGCCAACCATAAGGATGGTGGTTCAAATCCACCAGCAGGTTAATGGGAGAAAGATGATGATATCTGCTACTGTCACGATTCAGTCTCAGGAACTCTGCATAGATATGGTCGCTGAGTCAGAATCAACTCAATGACAGTGGGCTTTTACTTTGTTTATAAAAGTCTAGGGGCATCATTCAGTCTGTACTATCATTCTAAGGGGTCAGAACATTCCTTGTTGTTGTTGT